AACAAAATTCCTATAGTATGTATTCATTAAAGTAATATTAGATGACATAATAAAAAAAGGCACCAAATACTTGTTTACTTCTCACTCATATTAAGTTTAATTGGAAGTTGAAGGGGGAGGTGCTCCACACAGTTATTCAGGGAACTAGACTAACAAAAGCTCTGCAATCCTTCATTTGTGGCTTCCAATGTCTCATTGGCCATGAGCATTTAGATGGCAACAGGGGAAAGAAAAAGTGATGGGTCATGAGAGAGGCTTTTATGGGCCAGGCATGGACAGGGCACATTTCTCTTCTACCCCTTTCACATTGGTAGAACTCAGTAGCTTGACCACATCTGTCTGCTAGAGTATTGGGAAATGTAGTCCATCTGAGAGAAAGAGAGAAGGAAAATGGGTTTGAAGAACAGCCAGTCTTTGCCACACTGGACAGCAGGGTGAAAATATTTGAAATATTTTAAAGGCCTGTGTGAGAGATAATGAAAGCTATTATTTCTGCAAGTGATCCTTTATTTTCTGTCCTTTTAATCAAATGACTTGTCTTTTTAAAATATCATTGTAATACAATGTGGTGAGTGTAATGACAGTGTTGTGCAGTGAGAACCTCTAGCCTGCATTGTTTATAACATAAAGCCAGTGCTGGGTCTCAAACAGTGAATGTTAGGCAGGCAAATAATATAAGTAACTTTATGCTGAAAACCAACACATGCAAAATAAAGTTTAGTCATGGCATAGGTAAGTTTATATGAAAGGTGATAAATACATTTGATGCATGTTCTGGGTTTCCAAAGTTATGTGGAATTTTACTTCAACATTTTAATAATATTCAATGAGCTGAGTCAATCACAAATATTTATTTAGAACCTATCATTGGAAGCTGTGTGTTGACATGGAGATCCAGTGATGAACAAGAAAGATATCTCCCCCGGCTCTCACATTCTAGATCCATGGTCGGCAAACTGGCTCTAGAGCCACATGCAGCTTTTTGGCCCCCTGAGTGTGGCTTTTCCACAAAATAGCACAGCCTGGGCGAGTCTATTTTGAATAAGTGGCATTGTAAGTTTAAGTTTCAAATATTTGGCTCTCAAAAGAAATTTCAAATGTTGTACTGTTGACTAATGAGTTTGCCGACCACTGTTCTAGATCATGTACACTGTGAAGAACAACCAAAAGGTGCAGAGCTAGGTAGCCTTTCCAAAACCCTTTTGTTGGTGACCATCTCTAGGAAGCACTGGGAAAGCTGTTATAAATTAAGTATGGATATTAGAGCTAGAGATAAAGCTATTTAGCAATTTTAGATTTGGGGAGTCAGGATGGAGTAAAAAGACCATGCAGAAAATGATTGCAGTGGTCCAAGAGAAAGGTTGATCAACATCTCCTTGGATGCTCTGAGTCTGACTTGGCAATCTTTCTATGCATTCTTTCTATGCATCCCTACTGCCCATATCCTTCATACTTCCCATCTTTTTGGTCAACTGTCTTCTCATTTATGAAAGCTCCCTATATCTTCCATCAAGTGTTAAATGCATCTTCCTCCCAATTCCCATAGTACCCTGAACGTCTCTCTGATACCATTTGTCAGCTGTAGTCTATCTGAGAACATCCTGTCTCCCAGCAGAGCATTAGCTAACACAGACACTCAGTAAAGCTTGGTTTAGTGCTGAAACAGGAATAACAGAACACACACACACACACACACAAAAAACAAACAAACAAACAAACAAACAAACAAACAAAAAAAACATTAGGTAGACACGATGCTGGACTTTTTTTTTTTTTAAATATATTTTATTGATTTTCCACAGAGTGAAAGGGAGAGGGATAGAAAGCTAGAAACATCGATGAGAGAGAAACATCGACCAGCTGCCTCCTGAACACCCCTCAACGGAGATGTGCCCGCAACCAATGTACATGCCCTTGACCGAAATCAAACCCGGGACCCCTCAGTCTGCAGACCCACTGAGCTAAACCGATGCTGGACTTTTAAGGCAATATTACAAATATAAATTTTAATTGAAGTCATGTATTAGTCATCTCAGCAGTCTGAACAACTTGAGTTAACTGAGCCACTCAGTTTATTCTACTCCAGGTATCCTACTGAAATCTCCTAGGTAGGAGGTTTCCACTTGGAGTGTATCAGGTCAAACATAATATTCTAGTGTCTGTCCATAGGTTAATGATTAATTACATCAGGAGTGAAATATCTGAGTTTCATAGAGCATAACATAAGAATGAGGTTAAAACAATCATTTTTTATATCCCCGGACAATTGTAAGACATTAAATACTTTTCAAATAAGGTAGAATGTTGTACTCTCATCATTCTTGTACCACTTCACTTCCATGAGCTTTTGGTGTAGCACTATTTGTATGGTTTCAACCATTATCTAATGACATTCCAAAGTATTTTAGAAGGTATAAGAATGGTAACTCTGAAACCAATAAGACACTGAAAAACTTTAGAGTAAAAGTGGAGGATTTTACTGAGGAAAGAGCTGCTTTAAATTTTACCTACCATTAAGGATAATTGTGTGTGTGTGTGTGTGTGTGTGTGTGTGTGTGTGTGTGTTCATATGTAAATCTTGGTTATTGACACATAGTTGAATTATTTGCCTATATTTTTATTAGATTGTTTTTTATTATTGAACTGTGTGTTCTTGTTATATATTCTATACTAAACCCTTATCAGATAGATGATTTGCAAATATTTTATCTAATACTGTCAGTTATTTTTTCACTTTCTTAATAGTATCCTTTGAAGCACAAAAACTTCTAAATTGGATGAAGTACAGCTTATCTGTTTTGTCATTTGTGCTTTTGGTTTCACATCTGAGAAGGTTTTGCCTAACTTAAGGTCAGAAACATTTACTCCTATACTTTCCTCTGAGAGTTTTACAGTTTTAGCTTTCACACTGAGGTCTGTGATCTATTTTGAGTTAATTTTTGTGTATGCTATAAAGAAGGAGTTTAGCATCATTTGCTCAAGTTTTTTTGTCTGAGTCCCCATTATGCAATGACCTTTCTCACGGTCAGTATCTCAACTCCCACCACTCTATCCTCTTTAACCTCCCATTTCTCCCTCATCTCTCACACTTGCTCTTTCCTATTGGATCTCCATTTGTCCATTTCTCCCTATGTATAAGCATTGGCCAAGGCTCTATACATATTCTATCTCTTCTTTTCCTAATAGTTTTCTAAAAGAAACATCATCCATTCTAACAGTTTCATCTATCACCTCTATTCCAGTTTAATGAAAATCATAACAATTAATGGTTGCTCATTGTATGGCAGGTACTTTACATATGCTATCTGAATAAATTTTCAAAACAATCCTTATTAGCTCCATTTTACTTTGAGGCATTTAAGGGCAAGGTCATAGAGTCAGCAAATGAAAGTGTCTGAATTTGAACCCAGGCAGTCTCTCTTCTCTGCAAGCACTCTCCACCTTTATGCTCTTCCTCTCCATCAAGACTGGCCTCAAATTCCACTATTTTCAGGAGGCTAGTCCTGACCATCTAATGTGATAATGGTCCTCCATTTGTGTCATTCTGATGACTTTTACTTTTTGCTCTATTTTATGGTCATTTACACTCACTCCCCTCTTCTCCTCCCCTCTCCCATAGACCATTATCTTATCAATTCTTGGAAACAGGGACTGGATTTATTGATTACATATCCCCATTAATATTATCCTACGACAGTGCAAAATAGGCAGCTGGTAAAAGACCTGCTAATTTGAATGAAAGAGTAATTTGTAAAGTGGGTCCTCCAGGCATGCCCCAAAACTGTTTATTTCCACATGTGATAGGAATGCAGGAAGTAAACCAACCCAGGGTGTCACAGTGTCCCAAATGACCTGGCTCTCTGGGCTAGGTGGTTCAGGATCTCTCCGTTTTCAAGTAAAAGAGTAAAGAAGGTAGAACAAAGAAAGAAAATGCATTACACATAACCATGCTGTGTCTGCCTTAGCCAACAAACACATTAAGCAAAATTGTATGCTTCATCTGCTATAATAGGGCCAATTCTCATATTTCAAAATAACTATCCAACCCTAGTCTAAGAAATCCTTCCCATGAGGCATGACTAACTTCAATTTTAAGTAAAAGAATGTGGTAAATGAGTCACTTTTCATCTGTTCAGAAAGACCTGTATATTTCCAGATAACCTTATTCTCTGTAAAGGTATCTCATTTCCACCCTGCCAAATAAAATTACATTAAATTTAAAATATATATAAAGTTATATGAGAGAGAATAAAGTAGATATTGATTTGGACTGTTGGCTAGTGTTGAAAGTTTCTTCTTTGTGTTATAGCTATCTTAGAGAACAAGTCAGAGGGGGGAAATAGTTACAAGGTCCCAGACTGAGCACTCAACTGAGGGTTTTGTTTGCATGTATGTAGAGTCTATTATGACAGTACAGGGTTGCCTCAGAGCCTTAAGTTTAAGCAGAACGTTCCCATGGATTTTGGGGGAGTTGCTCTGCTTGTTTTGGCCACAGATGGAGTTCAGAAATGGACATGGGCCAGGAAAGGACAATGGGAAAATTTTTTGCTGATTCTCACAGGATGGCCTTGAATGAAATGCACTCATGTAACTCAGCAATCCTCTCATTTTGTGGGCAGGCTAACTCAGGTTTCTGAAGTCACATTGGGTACCTTTGACTCATGCTTCTTCCTTCATGGTGCCCTTTAAAGAAATAAGTCCCTAAATCCTATCCCAAGCCCACTGCTTTTCTTTCTTTATAATGGGCGCTTTACCACATTCCATGGGCGCTTTACCACATGGCTTAAACTGTGCCTCACAGTGGCTGACTCGCAGACCCTCTGCATCAGCCAGAGCCTTTCTCTTCTCCTGCATCCCTGACTGCCCGGCAAGCAGTCCCACTTCTGACTGCAATCTCCACCTCCAACTTAGCATGTACCAGATATACCCATTGCCTCGCCCCTATAAGCAGCCCTCCTGATTCCTTCTTCCTATCAACAATACTTTAATGTTCCTGGCAGATACTTTTCATTTTATTCTTCCTTGAAATCATACCTAATCAGTCACAAAAGGTCATCAAATCTTTCTTCATGAAGATCTCAGTCCCTTGTGCTAGAGTCTAGACATATCCAGGAAAGAAGGAAGCCAACTGTGTGTTCCCATGCTGTGGAAATAACCAGGAAGTGGATCTTTGTGTATGTGTGTATTTTATTATTTATTTATTTATTTATTTAACTCTTAAAATCTTTATTGTTGGAAGTATTACATATGTCCCCTTATTTTCTCCATTGATCTCTTCTAGTCCACCCTCGCCTCCTGCCCCACACCCCCAGACCTTCACCACACTATTATCTGTGTCCATGGGTTATGCATATATACATACAAGTTATTTGGTTGATCTCTTCCCACCCACCACCCTAATGAACAAAATAATACTGAAGACCAATGCAGTCCAAAGTTAAGCACAGAACAGAGCTCTGAGGAGAGCCAAAAGTTGGCACTGGAGTAGTAAGTCATCCACCAGAACTACAGAACTGATGTGAGGTCATAATGAAAGGGAAGTCAAGAAGTTAGGAGCAGGAACCATGCCTGTCTTGGTTATCATTGAATCCCCAGAACCTAGCTCATTGCTGGCTCACAGTAGGCACTCAATAAATGTCCTATATTCCCAAATGTAAGGTGTTTGTTATAATCTTTCATTCTACCTTTTTAAAAAAAAATATATATTTTATTGATTTTTCACAGAGAGGAAGAGAGAGGATAGAGAGTTAGAAACATCGATCAGCTGCCTTCTGCACACCCCCCACTGGGGATATGCCCGCAACCAAGGTACATGCCCTTGACTGGAATCGAACCTGGGACCTTTCAGTCTACACACTGAGGCTCTATCCACTGAGCCAAACCGGTGCCGACCCATTCCACCTTTTATTCAAGACCTCATATTAAGCAACACTCTCTCACTTGTGTTATTTTAAACCACCAAGTAGCATTTGGGGGTGACACATCAGGCAAAAGCAATATTCATCAATGTCAGTTTAAGGTGGCTAGAGAAGAAACCTGATATACTGAATAAATAAGGAGGAAATGCATTTTTTATTGATTTTTTTTTTTTTTTTTTTTTTTTTTTTTACAGAGAGGAAGGGAGAGGGATAAAGAGTCAGAAACATCAATGAGAGAGAAGCATTGATCAGCTGTGTCCTGCACACCTCCTGTTGAGGATGTGCCTGTAACCAAGGTACATGCCTTGACCAGAATAGAACCTGGGGCCTTTCAGTCCACAGGCGATACTCTATCCACTGAGCCAAACGGGTTAGCACAGGTGAAGGCAATATATTTTAATAAGATTTTGTGAGATTTTGACTTAACACAAGTGTTAAAATTATAAAAATGTTTTTTTAAAAAAAACTGTTTTTAAAAACATGTAGAGATAAAAAATTGTAATCTACCAGGTAGATTTTTTTGTTAATCCTCTCCCCTAGGGTATTTTTTCCCATTGTTTTTCTGAAAAAGTGGAAGGGAGGGGCAGTGGGTGAAGGAGAAAGAAACATCAATGTCACCAAGGACTTACTACCTCCCTCACACATCCTGACTGGGGACATGGGCGCAAACTTGCAATCCAGATAGAACCTGACCAAGAATAGAACCTGCGACCCTTCAGTGCCAGGGCTGGATAGATTAGTTTTGATAGTCATATATTTTGTGTCTTGGTGAGTAAGTCACAGAATCAAATAATACTGTATATCAAATAATAGAGAGGAAACAAAGATGAGAAGCTTTAGAAAATTGTTGGTGAAATAAAACATGCTTGTAATGGTGATAAAGAATACATAAGTAGCAAAACCAGTATTTCTAATTTACATCATTGTATATAATATATTTTTCTAAATATGCATGTATATGATAAATTAATGCACTAAATACCAGTAGATATTTGACAGTTTCTTGAAATCACTAAAACTTATATATTCAAGCACTCAAAACAGATTCCCCATTTTCCAATGAGATAATGCATAAGAAATGTTGTTGAATGAAATAATGACTGAAGGTATAAATAATATTTAAAGAAAAACTTATTTAAGTAGTAGTATTAATAACTTATTCAATAATTCACTGAGTAAACATTGACTGAGCTATTTGGGTGCAAATCAATTAAGCAAGCCTCAGAATGGTTTGGTACCAAAATCTACTTTCCACTGGAATGCTGAACCTAAAACAAAAGAGAGAAATATTTTAGCTTTATATTATGAAAAAAATAAACACATAGAAATGTAAAATATTTAACAAACATCCATACCTCTAAATGCAAGTTATTAACATTTTTCCAAAAATTGCTTCATTTATATATTTTATTTTTGATGGATCATTTGAAAGAAAATTGCAACTGTGATAACACTTAAACCATATTTCTTAATATTTTAGCATGCATCTAGAAAGATGAAAACATCCTTCTACATAATTATAATACTGTCATTCCAACTAAAATTTATAACTCCTTAATAAGATACATTTCCAGTTAATTTTTGGATTTCTACAGTTGTTCAAAATATTTTTTATCAGTGTTTTGGTTTTTTTACAAAAACAAACAAGTGATTTAATGAAACACCACAACTGCTTTTGGTTGTCTTTTTTAAGACTTCTCCCTACTTTTTTTCTCACTTGACTCAAGTATAATTGACAAATAAAAACTGTATATTTGAGGCATACAACATAATTTTACATAAGCATATGTTGTGAAATTATCACGATCAAACTAATTAACACATCCCTCACCTTACCTAGTTACCAAATTGTGTGTGTGTGGTAATAACACTTTAGATCTACTGTCTTAACAAATTTCAAATATGCTATACAATATTATTAACTGTAGTCACCATGCTATACATACTCAAAACTTATTCATACTATTGCTGAAGTTTTGTACCTTTTGACCAACATCTCACCATTTCCTCACCACCAGGCCATTCTTTGCTTCTGAGAACTCATCTTTTCTAGATTCCACATTTGATTGAGATCATATAGTATTTGTCTTTTTTTGTCTGGCTTATTTTACTTAGCATCATGTCCTCCAGGTTCATCATGGCAGGATTTTCTTATCTTTTTGAGGCAACTTCATATTGTTTTCCCTAATGGTTACACCAATTTATATCCCCACTAATAATACACAGGGTTCCCTTTTTCTCCACACCTTTGCCAACACTTGCTATATCTTATTGTTTTTATGACAGCCAACTTAACAGGCATGAGGTGATAATATCATTATTCCAGTTGCATTATTCAATACTCTGTTAATTTGCATTATTCAATGCAGTATTGATTTGCATTTCCCTCATGGTTAGGGATGTTGAGCACCTTTTCATATACCTGTTGGCCATTTATATGTCTTCTTTGGGAAAACGTCTGTCTATTCTGGTCCTTCATCTATTTTTAAATTGGGTTATTTAGATTTTTTAAGTTGTATGTGTTTCTTATGTATTTTGGACATTAACCTCTTAACAGATATATGGTTTGCAAATATTTTCTCCCATTCAGAGAGCTTTTGTTGATTGTTTTCTTTGCTGTGAGAAGCTCTCTAGTTTGATATAGTCCCATTTTATATATATTTTTTGCTATTAAAGACCAAGCCAATTGTCATACAGAAAGTTCCACATTGGGATTATCTCATTGTTTCCTCATGAAGCAAGTTATCATATTCCTCTAGCCTGATATTTCTTGTGAAATGGAAGTTAGATATAAGAGCTTGACTAAATTTAGCTTAAATGTTCCATTGGTATATTGAATACTATAACATAATGAGAGCACAGAGTGGCTAATTGTTCCAACATCTGTGATGTAATTTTATCATGTGGTTTAAGGTGGTAACCAGGTATGTCATCTTGGAACGCAAGGGTGATATATTGTCATCTTGTAAAAACCTAGTTCCTCATTAACTGTTCACTTAATGGAGTTAACATCTGTTGAGAATGTTTACCTTAACCAATTGCTTCAGTAGGGGATTGTAGAATAAAATGTACATTTCTGATTACCTCTTCAGTGACCAATTTTCAAAAAGATTGAAGTCCAAAATTTTAAGATTATACTTTATTGTAATGGGAGAGTACTAACATTCAATTTTATTCTGTTTTCAGCAAAATGGGAAGCCACATTTTTATGAGAAGCCGATTGTTGAATCCTTTGAGGAAGCACCTCTTCATGTTATGGTTTTCACTTACATGGGATATGGAATTGGAACCCTATTTGGCTATCTCAGAGACTTTTTGAGAAACTCGGGAATAGAAAAATGCAATGCAGCTATAGAGCGAGAAGAACAAAAAGTATGTATGCACATCTCCCTGGATCTTTGTCAATGCTATTCTTCTCTAAAATGTTCTCACCAGTAGTGATGCATGTGCAGGTACTATAAAGAGTGAGGAGCTCAGGAATTCCTCAGGGTAGATGCTATTTATTTCCACCCCTAGACCTCATCCCTGTGTGTTCATGGACTTGTTTTATGCAAATATTTATTAACTATCATTCACCAGATACTAAACTAAAAGTTTTTTTACACACACTATCATATTTAACTTTTATAACAACCCATGAGATATTAAAATACCATTTAGAGACTTAAAAAAACATAATATAAGAGCAAGACACATGTATGGGGCTATATTGTGGTCTTCTAGTTGCAAGATGAGTATTATTTATGTTTAATCCTAGAATACAAAAGAGTATCTAAATAAAGTGTGAGATTTTTATTTCATCTAGATCAGGGCTTCTCAATGTTGGTACTACTGATATTTTAGACTGGATAATTCTTTCTTGTGGGATGCTGCATGTTCATCGTAGAATCTTAAAGAGCATACCTAGCCTCTAACCATTAGATGCCATTAGCACTCTCCCACACACTTGTGACAATCAAAAATGCCTCCAGACATTGCCAAATATCTCATGGACTTAAAAATCACTTCTGATCTAAATACTTTCTATAGTTAGCCTATAAAAGTCTACATCATCCTCTTTTCACATCGAGTTAACAGGGCAGCCTGAAAAACATTCAAATATATTCAAAGAGTCTGCATTTTGTTAACATGATTTCCAGAGTGGTTAAAATTATTTATGATATCATGAACCTCTTTTTTCCTAAAAATTGCTTTGTAATACTGAGTGTGGTCATGAATTATTTGACATGATGGAGCTTTAAAGACATCTAAATAAACAAGATAGGTGAGGCATGAATTTCAATGTAATGAGGGAACCTCAAATCCTGTCACTTAGCAACCAGTACCTATAGTAAGATAAACACTTATTACAGTAATGCTTCCATGTACAAATCTTAGGCATTTTTTCTTTTCTTTTTGGAATTGCCTTAAGTCAAGTGTATCACCTTCAATAGAAAATAAGGCCCAGAGTTATTATTATAATTCCTCCTACTTTTAGCGACTATCAGGCAATGGGTACTAATATAGAGAGAAGAAAAGACAGTTCCTGCCATCAGATAATTTGAAGCCTGGTATGCAGAAACAAACTCATAAGCAAAGCATATGACAAGTGATGATAGGGAGGAGTGCGATGTGGGAATTCGGAATTTGTGTCCTGTGATTCATTTAGGAAGTCAGGAAGCCATGATGCTGGAGCTAGAATGGGGAGCAGGAATTTGCCTAGTGATCAAGGGCACAAAGAAAGACATTCTCAGAAAAGGGCACTGCCTTTGTCAAGGTATTCATTAACTTATTAATCAAGTCAGATTCTCTTTAAGCATGCATGTTTGCAAGCCACCATGCTACAATCAGGGATATAAGAATAACCAGGGCAGATACAATTCTTGCCTTTAGAGAGCTAACCAATAAAAAATTGCAATAGAATTTGATAAGAATACTATAGAGTTAAGAAGAGGATGTCAAAAGAACCAAAAAGAAAAAAAACATGGAACTCAAACTTGGTGGTCAGTGAAGGTTTATGGAAGGAAGAGAAAATTAAATTGAGATGTGATGACTCAAGAATAAGTAATAAAGCAAAGGATAAAGCAAGATGGAACAGAAAGAGGTCCAGCAGTAAGAGAAAGCATTGTATATTTAAGGAACCAAGGAATTCAATGACTGCAGTGCTGTGAGAGTGGGAGTATGTGGGGAAAAGATTGAGAGGCAAGTAGGGGCCAGACCATAATGGGTTTTTATAAGCCATGGATATTTATTATAAGAACAATGGGAGGGCATTGAAGGATTTCTGGCAAAGGAATGCATATTTTCAGATTAGAAAGATTGTGTTCACTACCCTATGAAACAGGGATTGCAGGAAGATAACATAGAGACCAAAGAAATCAGTTAAAAGACTGATAGAAATACAGGTTTAAAAAAAAAAAATCTAGGTGAGAACTTGGGCTGGGACCGAGAAAGTGATAACCCAGCTGGTGAGATAAGATCAAGAGATATTTAAGAAGATAGCAGGGATTATTGGTTTGACCTGAGAAATTAGAGAGATGGACAGATCAAAGACCACAAACAGGTTTTTGATTTGGGCAGATGAGGAGACTAGAAAGTGGTGTAATTCACTGAAATGAGGGATAGAGCAAAAAGACCCAGAGGAGGGGAAAAGTGATCAAATTCATCCTTTGACAAGTTGGGTTTGAAAAATTGGCAGCTAAAGATAGAACTCAAGACTTCCGGAGAAACGTCTCAGATGGATATTGTGGCATCTTCTGCATATCTTGAGCATATCAACATTAATAAACCCAAAGAAGTAGATGAGGTCTCCCAATGAATATCTATAGAGAAGAGAGAGAGAGAGAGAGAGAGAGAGAGAGAGAGAGAGAGAGAGAGAGAGAGACAGAGGGTAAGAAGAGAACAAAGAACTTCAGAGAATTTTAAAGATGTCAGAGATGGAATTCCAATTCTAGACTAGAAGCAAAGTGACTCTAGAAAACCAATAATGGTTTAGGAAAGAAATAATTTGTGTTTGAATTGAGGAAGAAAAGGGAACTAATTTGAGAGGTAGTATCAAAAAGTCTTAAAATTATATAGAAAATAATATAGAGGGAGGAATGTCAAATTTCTACTTTGGTCAGACATGAGGTTGATAGTGGCATACCCATCACAACAAAATGGTCTTGTTTTTGCCTTAAAAAAGAGGTCACAGACACAGTTTTGAGGTATAAAGATTTTTAAATGGTAAAGGATATTGAAGCAGTTAAATCAAATAGGGAACAATCCACCATGCTCCCAGAGAAAGATGAGGTTTCTCAGGTCCTAACAGAGCTGATAATGAACTTGGGAAATAGGAAGGAGGGAGCAAGTTATTTTTAGCCACTCTTAGAAGGATCCTTGCAGCCTCTCCCTGACACCAGCTGGTCTATTCTAGAAGCTCTTACCACCAATCTGCCTGCTCCCTGAGTATAAGTAGCATGCACACTAATTCAGTACAGAATATTTGCTGAAAGGTGTCAGTCAAGTCTAAATTTCTCAGGGTGGCATCCCTTGGCAGGTTTGGGCTTCAGATCTGCCATCTATCTTCTAACCTGTTCCAATATTTTAGCATTATCAATGCTGAGGGGCTAGTTTGGTTTCCCAAAAGCACTTCTTACTTTCAAGCAGAACACATTTATATATATGCAAGTTGGTTCTCAGCATAGACAACTCTAAGGTGGTTGAGGGCAAGAAGGTTATAGGGATATGCTCCTGGGATCAAGAGCCGTACACTTGGGAGGGAGTGAAGGGGAAAGATGGTGAAGGTGATTTGTGATGCATTCAGGGAGCTCTTGAGGTGGGAGAGCCCTTCAGAAGTGTTGAGACAGGGGGTTGAGCCTTCAATGATGATAGATGAGGACTACCTCCAGAAAGGGATTTGACCTTGAGTGGGGCAGCTCCCTTCTTTGAGCTGCCAGCCTCCAACACTCTGAGCATTGGCAAAGGAAGAGATGCTTTAGTCCAAAACAATGGGATAGGCACAGGGCACAGCAGCCTGTCTCTAACACTCCTCACTATTGCTGAAAGAACTGCTTGAAACACCTCTGGGGGAATGAGAGGGTGGGAAGGCATTGCATTCAGTAAAACAGTATGTTGTATTTATTTTTTTTTCTTTTTTTAAAAATATATTTTATTGAGTTTTTACAAAGAGGAAGAGAGAGGGATAGAGAGTTAGAAACATCAATGAGTGAGAATCATCGATCAGCTGCCTCTTGCACACTTCCTACTGGGGATGTGCCCACAACCAAGGTACATGCCCTTGACCGAAATCGAACCTGGGACCTTTCAGTCCGCAGGCTGACACTCTATCCACTGAGCCAAACCGTTTTTCGGCTGTTGTATTATTTTACAAAATAAATAATGTCCTACCCATTTTTTTAAAATATATTTTTATTGATTTTTTTCACAGAGAAGAAGGGAGAGGGATAGAGAGCTAAAAACATCGATGAGAGAGAATCATCTATCAGCTGCCTCCTGCACATCCCCCACCAGGGATGTGCCCGCAACCAATGTACATACCCTTGACTGGAATCGAACCTGAGACCTTTCAGTCAGCAGACCGATGCTCTATCCTCTGAGCCAAACTGGTCTCAGCTGTCCTACCCATTTGATCTCTGTGAAGTTGAAAGCATCATCAGTCAGTTGACTCTCCTTCATAGATATTCCTTTTATGTGGCACCCTTTTTAATATGTGTTCTTTCCTTTTGAGCCCGGTTAGATTTAGAGGCTTGCAGAGTAACAGGCCCTAATTAAGGGCAATGGCTGCAATCAGTATGTACATTTTTATGGGACTTAGTCACTAGATACTCTATCTCCAGGCTGACCTTTATCCTTTTAATATTGCCCCTAGTCCTGCACTTCTGACAGTAACCTTGCTCTGTGAAAATAAGCGATCCGAGGCACATTTTGAAATCTTTGGCTGGAAGCATGGAATGTGCTGCTTTTCAATGACCATTGGTTCTTTTAGCAGAAATGAGCATTATTCTATTCTAAAAGCTGGGTCACTAGGAGTGCAGAATAGATTGCCCCATAAGACAAACAAGCCATTCATAAAATGACATCAGGAAAGAAAGCACTTCCATGAAGTGATGGTGGACAAGAGTTATTCTTGTTTTAAAAATATCACAAATGGCTGCCGTGGCTTCTGATTACACTCTTAGACTCTTAATTTTCAAATTTTGATCTTATTTTTAATAACATTGTATATATTTAATGGTCAAACTAATGGGCATGTCCTTTTCCTCACTTTTTGTTAATCAAATATAAGCACTTTTTAATTCAATTTCTCTATTTTCTCTCACAGAGATGACTTCTGTCATAACAAACCATCCATTCAAACTAAACTGTTGCCCAAATTTAGACTCTCTTTTTTA